GACTTACTTGGTGCGCTGATCTCTGAGTTTGGGATTGCGGATGATGTTACTCGGTCATATGTTGAAGCCTATCACGGGGATCCGTTTATGTCAGAGATCATACACACGCTCGAGACGAAGGACAAAGGAACTTCTGACGAGTTTGTAATGGTCAATGGCCTGTTGTTCCTTGAGAAGGCCGGAAATAAACGGTTGTGTGTCCCAAATCGGGAGTCTTTGCGTAGTTTACTTTTAGGCGTGTCATGATGCCACAAGAGGTTTTGGTTATAAGAAGACTGCAGTGAACTTGCTGCAGCAGTTCTGGTGGCCCACAATGATGAGAGATGCCAAGCTGTATGTGGAGACTTGTCAGGTCTGCCAGAGAGACAAGCCAAGCACACAGGCCCCTCTTGGGCTTCTCAAGCCCCTTCTGATTTCGGAGAAGCTTGGTGAGAGCCCGTCCATGGATTTCATGGACACGCTTGTCACCAGCAAGAGTGGTATGAGACACATCTTTGTCACTGTGGATAGGTTTAGTAAGTATGCTAGGTTAGTCGCAATGCCTGAAACAGGAAAGACCGAGTACGTGATTAGACTATTCTAAGAGAACTGGGTCCGAGACTTTGGTCTTCCAAGTGAGTTGCGGAAGGCTGCAGCTGCAGAACAAGGGACACAGCTGCAGATGACCTTCGGGAACCACCCAGAGGCAAACGGGCAAGCAGAGCAGGTGAACCATGTTGTACAACACCTGCTAAGGCACTATATCAAGCCTAATCAGGTGGACAGCGCAACAGTGATGAGCCCTAACAGTCTGCTAATGACCTTCAAGCCTAGACTGCTCCTAGACTTTCTACTACCTGAGAACCGGCCGGCTGCTGCACCAGGCACTCTAGAATTGGCTTATCGATATGAACGCCTGATGCAGCAAGCTGTAGAACAGATGCATAGATCACCGACGGCAATGATAATATCTGAGAACCAAGACCGCCGCTCATCTACATTCCAGGTAGGGGACAGAGTCTGGGTCAAAGCCTCTGAACTGGGGCACGAGCATGGGATCTCCCGCAAGCTCATGCCACAGTACTTCGGGCCATGGGAGGTTCTAGATATTTGCGGTAATGATCTGGATGGGCCATCTTATGTAATACGGATCCCTGGTCACCTTCGCGCCTACCCTGTCTTTCACGCCTCCAAGCTCGCACCTTCCAAAGAAACTGATCAGTTTCCCTCTCGTTGCTCAATGGTGCCCCCAACCATGGATGGAGAGGTCTCCATCGACGACATCGTGGGACGCAGAGAAATGGCAGTTCCACGACCAACAGGCAGGGGACGTCCGCCTAAGCCGAAGCTGCAATATCGCGTTCGGTTCAGACATCACACTGATCCAAAAGAGGATAGATGGTTTACCCGGGAGGAACTGATGCCGACCGCTCGACAGGTTATCGCTCAATATGAGAAGTCACTGCAGGAAGGAAAGCGCCAGATTGAGTGATTGTACTTCTCTCAGAGGACTGTGGAAGTATGGAGGAGGGAATGCGAGGCTAATGGCCTCGATGAGCCCTACTAAGCCTTGTTTTCAGCAATATTGGCCGCCCTTAGTGAAGGCAGGCCTGACAGGGACTAGAAGCCTATTTCGGGATTTCCACGCAACTGGGAAATTCAGGCAGTTGTGCAGCGCCAGTTGGTTGAGAAAGCCCAGGCCCTGACTGCCTTTTTCCAAATGTATCTGAGGCAGGCCCTGGGCTAGACACGGGCCATGGACTGCACGCAGGACGCTGGCAGTTGGACACAGGTAAACCACCTCAGGCCTGTGCCTGATTCCCCTGGACCGGGGCTCAACCACTTGGGGCCTAGGAAGCTTCTGGGCAGGGGCCCAGCGCAGTCAGGCAGCACGCAGCAGGCAGGCCACTTCCATGTAGGAAATTTTCATTGTTTGGGCACTTGCTACATGCTGCGCAAGCGCTGCTACGCTATCAGCTGGCAAGCGCCCACGCGCTCACGGGTGAGCACGGCACACGCAGGCAGCCATAGCCGAGCTGGCCTTCGAGATGCTGGATGGGGTGCATGGTGGTCCATGGGTGCACGTGGCATCTGTGTGGGGGATCGAGGTTGTGAGTGATGTGAGATACATACCTGGTGCTTGAGGCGAACAGCATTGGCTGAGTTCTGCTCGTACTTCGGGGAGCTGTTGACGTCACCAACGGCATTGTAGATAGGCTAGTGTAGGCTCTGCCATTCGTCGTCTGGGTGCTGAGCGCCAGATAGGGAATCGACATTGGTTCATTGTTGATGATGATGAGACTATTCCAGCATTGTCACTTGTGAGCTTCTGCTGTGCTCTAATTTGGTGGAACTCGTGTTACAATTCTGCTTTTGGTTCGAGGTCATGACTATCTGGTTTCATGTGTATGATGCTGCTTGGTTTCTGGAATTCACTGTCGCTCATTTTCCTTGCAAAAGCCAAAATATACCCCTTGGAAGTCAAAACCCCATTCAACCCTCTTCAAAACCCATGTATACCCCCTTCCCCGCCCTTTAGAACTTATGTATATTACCTCTTTAAGGCACTCTGCCCATGGAACATTCAAATATAACGCCCGGGTGTTCTACTCAAATATTACACCCGGGCGTTCTTTCGAAGGGTTGAAAAAGAGTGAGGAAAAACAAAAATCTCATCTTTTTAGGGTAAGTTGACTATAACGCCCAGGCGTTATTTTCGGGTGAGGACGGCAGTCCTGGTCTTCTTCGACCTCCTGTCCTTGCTCCTTCCCCAGCAGCGCTGCTCCAAGCTAGCGCTGCTCCAGCCAGCGCTCCAACCAGTGTGTCGCCAAACTTGCACACCGACAATTAGGAGGAGCACCTTGCTCCTCTTGGAGATATAGCGGCCTGCTTGCCTCTTGGCGAGTGACTTCCTAGGCCGTGCGGCCTCCAAGGAACCGTTACCTCCTCCCTTTCAGAGGGAAACATCATTGCAGACTCTGATATTGCCTGTACAGGCCCTAGACTGAGACTGGTTGGACTGGTACCTGCCTAGACCTAGGCTGCAACTACTGGGCCTCTAAAAAATGCCAACGTTTGCTTCTTCTGCTCGGCCTCAGTACCCGGCACATCTACCTCTACTGGAGTGTTTTCCGCTGTTCTAAGTGTCGCGGGCCTCTTTCCCCACCACTTTAGTGTTTTCCTCGCTGCAACCGTCAATGTCACGACCACAGGGAAGTAGCGGCCCTTCGGGCCTTTCCGAACAACCAAGTGCCCTTGCGGGTCACACACACACTCAAGCCGACAAGCACTCAGACAGGCATGCAGACCAGCAAGCATGCACCCGCACAGACATAGAAAACTCAGCAACAAGCGGGAAACTCAGTAATCTCAGTCCGTGTTGGGCAGGTCATTACGAGGAAGAAGAACTGAAGGAGGGGGGGAAAAAAGAACAACAACAACAAGAAGAAATGATGAAGAAGAAAAACAACCAATGAAGAAGAAGAATCTAAGTGGAAGAAGAAGGGGGCTTGGAGATGGCGAGGTGGTGGTTGGAGCGACAGGGGGGAGGGAGAGATGATGTGGAAGGCTATGGTGGATGGGGTTGTCGCAACTGGAGAAGGAAAGGGGGAGGACGCCCGCTGTCAGGGCATTGGGGGGCGGAAGGCTATTGCAGAGGGGGTTGCTACCGGGGGAATGGCCGCTCTGTCTCTCTCTCTCTGTCTCTCTCTCTCTCTCTCTCTCTCTCTCTCTCTCTCTCTCTCTCTCTCTCTCTCTCTCTCTCTCTCTCTCTCTCT